GAGTTCGGCGCAACAGTGACATGCGCAGGTCACTGCGACACGATACCCAAAAGGAAGAGATGGGGTGTCTGTCTGGAGGATAGACTGTCCATAGCAGTGGCCCGATGCCCAGAGGAATGCGAAGAGGAGCGCATTAAGAGGTTTATCGAGAGGGAGCTAGAGGCGTTCACAGGCCAAAGAGGCTGCTCGAACATAACGCAGTACAGGATCACAATGAAGGACGACATCCCCATAAAGCAGCGATATTACCCCAAAAACCCGAAAATACAGGAAGAAATAAACGCGAAAGTGGAGGAGCTGTTGGAAAAAGGATGCATTGAGCCCTCGAATAGCGCATACAGTTCACCCATTGTGATGGTAAAGAAAAAGACGGGTCAATGGAGGATGTGCGTGGACTTCCGACAGATCAACGCTAAATCATTAAAGGATGCGTACCCGATTCCACGGACAAATTTTATTTTGGAGCAGCTAAGGGAGGCAAGATTCTTCAGCAGCCTCGACTTGAAGGACGGGTATTGGCAGATCCCTCTAGAAGAGCGAAGCAGAAAGTACACCGCCTTCACCGTGCCAGGGAAGGGTCTGTATCAATGGAAGGTGATGCCGTTCGGATTGCACTCAGCCTCGGCAACGTTTCAAAGGGCCCTTGACCAGGTCATAGGGCCGGACATGGCTCCACACGCCTTCGCATATCAGGACGATATCATCGTGATCGGACGCACCAAGAAGGAACACATAACGAACCTTTAAGAGGTGTTCAGAAGGTTGAGAGCAGCGAACCTGCGGATAAACACGGGAAAATGCCATTTTTTCAGGCAGGAGCTTTTATACTTGGGACACCGTATAACGAGCCAAGGGATGGGCATGGATCCGGGGAAGGTCGCTGCAACGTCAAACGTGACAAACGTCAAAGGAGTACACCAGTTCATAGGGATGGCGTCATGGTAGCGGCGATTCGTCCCAGATTTTGTGGGAATCGCAAAGCCCTTGAACGATCTGCTACGGAAAGGAACAAAATGGGAGTGGACACCCAAGCACCAGGTGGCGTTTGAGACACTAAAATCACGGCTAGCCGAGGATCCAGAGCTGGCGTGCCCAGACTTCGAAAAAAAATTCGTGCTGCAAACGGACGCCAGCGACTACGGGGAGGAGGACGAAAGAGTGATCGCGTACGCCAGTCGGACGTTGATTGGGGCTGAGAAGAATTACTCAGCAACGGAGAAGGAGTGTCTAGCCATAATATGGGCGATCAAGCAAATAAGGCCCTACCTGGAGGGGTATCAGTTCGACGTAATCACGGACCATATGGCACGACATATGGCAGCAGGACAAATGCTGACACAGGTCCCGAAAGAGCCATGGGCAACAGTGTGCGCGGACTTCATGGGTCCATTGCCAAGATCGAAACATGGAAATAAAATGGTATTGGTAATAATCGACCGGTTTTCGAAGTGACAAGGGAGACAAGGACCCGTGGCTGGACGATTTCCTCTACGAGCCCGGGCGTCAGAATCGAGTAGGGCCATTCCCGAACCAGGCAGGTAGCCTTGCAAGGAAGTGAAGAAAGGATAAGTCTGGCGTACGCCCTACCGATTCCTGGAATCGCAAGCAACAGGCGTGGTCCTGCGAAACAAGGGTCGGCTGACTTGAGAACTCACGCCCAAGTCAAAGACTGAGTGAGAACACCCCGGTCACCAGCCACGACACTAAAAATTCGGGCTCGCCGGCGCGTATGCGCGGTGTCCCGGTTAGCGGGAGCGTGACGCACGGTCAGACACGCGGCAACTTCCAAACCTGGCACCGGAGCGTATGCACGGTGTCCCGGTGTAGCGAAGGCGTCACACGGAAACTTTCAAACCTGGCGCCGGAGCGTATGCACGGTGTCCAGGTGTACCGAAGACGGCACGCGTATGCATTCCCGAACCTGGCACTGGCGCGTATGCACAGTATCCCGGTGTAGCGGAGGCGGAAGTCAGCATACAAACTCCCAAACCTGGTACCGGCGCGTATGCACGGTGTCCCGGTGTAGCGGAGGCGACAGTCCGCAGCCAACTTCTAATCCCCGCCCGCCGGCGCGTATGCACGGTGGTTCCCGGGAATAGGGGAGCGAAAGAGCACTGCCAATCGTCTGACCAGTCGTACTCGACCCAAGGGGGTGTTTTCGAGGCAAAAGGGCGGAGGGTAGCGGAGTCGCCAGCAGCACGGCAACAGGAATACCATCGGCGACGGAGTAGCGGCGGCGTGTCCTGACCAACCCGCAGAAACCACCCACGACGGAGCCGGTAGAAACGGAAGGAGCACCGAGAAAGAGAGAAGGAAAACCTTTTGTATTGTGAAGAGATCTCGAAATAACGAGTGTGGAAATTCAAGCTATTTGAATTATTTTCTGGGCTTGGGCAATCACGTCGAACCTATAAATTCGGTGGAACGGATCCGCGAAACTCTGTGAGTTAGCCACGTCAAATTGTGGCGAGCGGAAGCAGAAATAACAGTTCGTTACAATTCCGATGTAAGACTTCGGACAGAAATCAAAGAAACCGATCAGAAAATATTTAAGCTCAATGTCTCAAAAATGTCAAAATTTTCAATTTGCAAACCGGTTTTCGCTTGAAACCTAACGGTACTCTCTAAAAATTTAATCAAAAGCATGAACACGTGTTCATTTCAACAGCGCTTCGGAGCTCTGGTAAAATAATTCGAAGCAGAAACGCACTTCAAATCGAGCTGGTAACAATTCATGTTTATAAATTTGTATTATTTAAAATGGATTTTGAAGCTCAATATGTTTATTTTAATTTATGAAATAAATGTATTCTTACCTGACATGAAATTAATAAAAACTTACTTTATATGTGAAGCCCTTTTGTTTGTACTTTGGTGTCTTAAATGAGTTAACCTAAAGTATTAGTTATGTTCCCTCACAATTGCCCATTATCAAAATTATTATTTTTTATCTTTGCCATAGTTTTGCGGAATGTTGCGGATGTATTTGTAATCGTAAATATCCTAACACGACTTCTTATTTTTTTAAGGTGACAATTTGCTTCTGAAATGCTATCAAAATGTGGCAAGTTAGAGGTCTGGAGGTCTGGAAATTTGAATAATAGTGGGCAAGAGACGAAGGTGGAGGATCGTCCAACGATGGAAATGTAACTAGAAAATTTTTCTCAAGTCCCAAATTGGCTTCTGAAATTATGTGAACTATACTCCAAGCTATTGCCTCGGGGTGCAAAATAAATTTGGACAAATTTAATGAATATGCTAAGGAATACTGCTAAATAATTGATAAAGTATCCATGGTACTATTTGCCAGCTACAGTCCACAAGGTGTTAGTTCTTGGATTCTCTGTGATTTAGCATGCACTCGTACCAATCGGAGAGCTTTTCGAGGAAACTGTCAAGTCGATTAAAAAAGAGCTAAACCATCACAGCTAAAACATTACATCACAGCCAAAAAATTTCAGGGATTGCAAACAAAAAGACGTATTGAACATTATCATTTTACGGTCGGACCCGCTTATAACAAAAAAAACATGGAAATAAGGATAAATCAATGTTACTAGAATCTGTGTTCAACTTATTAGAAGAAACATACATTTTTGTTAAAATTATATTGATTTGTTGATGGCTGTGCAAATATCATTTTAATAAATTGGTTTTGGATGGTTTAATTTATGATTTTTTGATTGGGATTGGATGGGGGAAGTTAATCAAAATAGTTAATCTTTCCGCATTACAGTAATCTGTAATGCGCAATATTGATATGTGTCGGATGTGTAGAAGGCAGCAAGACCCGACGAATAGTAATGCATTAAAATCATATCAGTATATTGAATGCCAATTTTCGTAGATTGCAAGCGTATATTTTATTCATGTAAATGTATGTAACATAAAAAGAAATCATCTCCAATAAAGTGTATATTTATTATTCATCAGCGTCAACAGCCGAGTCGATATAGCCATGTCCGTCTTTCCGTATCACCCGTTGATCTTAGAGACTAAATGAGATAGATGAAGACTTCTATAACACCCACGCAATTCCGCCTTCACAAATTGTAACGCCAGTACGGGAAGCCAAACTATTTCTATAGTGAATTTATTCATTATTCATGATTTTATTCAATTCGGCCGATTTTAAGAGGAGTTATACCCATATATGTACCATTTTCCACACAAACAAATTTGTAAATTTTATAATTGGATTTGTTATTAATTTTGAATTTGTTTTTAAATAAAAAAGGTAATGACTTAAATGAAATGTTAGTTATCTAAATCTAAATCTATAAACCGCGTCGAGAAAGCCAAGGATATTCTCATCACATCACTGTCGTCCCTCCCAGCCGTTCTGAGCACTAGTTCGTTGCTGGTGAAATAAGCACTTACCAACAGACCACCACTACTTACAAAGTGGCGTCTAGCCATGCGTTTTTTAATTTCCGTTTTTGTATGAAATGTCCGCAAATAGGGTCAATCGCTACCGCCTCGATTACCCACGAACTAGTGAAATAGTGCAACATATTAGGGTCTTTAAAGAAACTACTTATATTAGACCCCATGGAACGACCGGTAAAATAAGTGTTTACATGGGACCCCATGGAACGGCCGGTAAAATAAGTGCTTACATCGGACCCCATTGAAGGGTCGGTAAAAGAAGTGCTTACATTGGACCCCATTGAAGGGTCGGTAAAAGAAGTGCTTACATCGGACCCCATTGAAGGGTCGGTAAAAGAAGTGCTTACATCGGACCCCATGGAGAGGTCGGTGAAGTAAGTACTTACATTGGACACCATGGAGAGGTCGGTGAAGTTAGTACTTACATTTAACCCCATGGACGGGCCTGCCATTTTAAATTAAAAAACATGTACAATTGCAATTACAGTTTTTATTTAGTTTAAATTTTTATGTATTATAACGGGGTATATTCTTTTATTACTTTTAAGCTGCTTGAGTTTTTGAAATATCTTTTTTTTTGAAGCTGCAGGGCCTTTCTTAATTGTTGCTCAGCTGGGCCAATACCGCCGACTGCAGTTATTGAATCTAGAAATAAAAAGGATTAAACAAGTTTTAATAGACTGAAGTGAATAATGATTATTAAATAATTATCTTTTAAAATACTCACCGATCATAACGCCAAAGAAATTGTCTTCTTTTCTTAGGGCAGCTTTCCCCTGAACCCCATCCACATTATACGCCAAGACCACTTCATTGGCTAAAATATTTTTTTAGTTTTTTAATATTCCGCCATTTAATATTAAATTTTTAATTGCATTGATCTGTGAAAGAAATAGATATTTAACTAAAAGAAAATTTTTTATGTACTCATATGTAGAGAGCCTCTTTTGTTTCGACTGCAAATAAAAAAACAAATTCAATTTGCCCTAATTTTAAAATAACTTAGACACTCACCTCGAGAGGAAAAAACTTGTTCGGTGAGATCCGAAATAATCCTTTCAAGGCGTTCAATAGTCTCTCCACATTTGCACCATTTCTTATCTGAAAAACAACAGTTTTAATAAATAATTTATTTGCTACAGCTGTCATATATTTTTTTTTAAACTTACCAGTGTTTAGAAACTCCAATCGCTGAATTTTTCTGGCTGGGCTGACCGACATCGTCTCGTTTGTTGATTCTTGGGGCTTTTATATAATATATATGACATAATTTAGGGTTAAACAGATAAAAGTACGACAATATCCTCAATCATCAATATGGTGAAGAAATGGCATCATAATCATATCCTTTAAATATGGTATTGCGACTGCTTTACAAATCAACTTGTTTAATTCAAAAATTTCTTCAGAAGATAAGGGCTCCGCATCTACTACGTAAATACCCAAGTCAGAGGATCTTATAAGCTCCGTATAAAAATTCCGCACATTCGTGAATCGTCCACCTCTAAATGTATCTTCCATAATTGATTCTATTCTAATAGAAATGTCCCCTTCGATGTAACAATAATTGTTTGGTTCCTTTTGGATTAATGTGCTTCCTTTAAATACTATTAAATTTTTTCTTTTTTCGGTCTCTAATGTCTTTTGAATAGGTAAATTCTGTTCTTCGTCAATTCTCCGGTGAATTTGCTCTAAAATGTTTGTTGGCTTTCTGACAAAATTTTTTAAATGTTGCAAATAATTTTCTAGAGCATAAGCAGAGCCTTTAACTGGATCACCAACCTGTTCCACTGTTTCTTTAACATTTAGTAAGCTATGTATGTTATATGAAACACTATTTTCTCCAAATATAATTGGAAAATTTGAAACAAATAGGTTCCGTATACAGCAAAAATTGTCTAAATTCCGTTGCTTTCCAGTTGTATAGTTCACTTAAGGGTCTTGGCTTTCTTGCGAATTCTTTAGGCATATTTTTGCGTATGTCAATTAATTTTTGAGATATTTTAGATTTCTTGTCGTTCGTCAATTTATTATAAGTCTTATTTGTCATCAATCGAACAAGAAATTTACGCAGGACTCCTAAGTCAAATAAATTCATGCAGTATAGTGGAATTTGGAAAACCATTTTTACATTCACGGTTTCAAGGGGTGTCATTTTTGTCAAATATTGTTTTAAGTGATGATCGGAATATTTCCTACTTTTGAAGTCTTCGTCGATTATTAAGTCTTCACTCTTTGTTGTGTATGTTAAAACATTATTTATTTTTTTCCGACTATTATGCATTTTGAACATCTATGCGAAGATGTATGATGTAAGCCCTAGCTGGGGCATCACAAACAATAGTCCTTAATTTTAATTTTATATTTCTTTCGTCTGTGTCAATTGCATTTTGAAGAAGATCTTTTAGCTCACAAGTAAAATGGCTTTAAAATTCGTCCAGATTATTGGGCTTACATTTTCCCAAAAATATTCCAACAGGGAAAATAGGAGAATTTTAATATTTGCCACTTTTATCAAAATTGGCCATAGTTGAGAATTTGAACTTTTGAATAGAGGAATTCCATCAATGTTTATGTCAATAGTTATGTCGTCAGTAAAGTTAATTAAATTCAAAAGCTTAACAATCTGAGTTTTAATGCCAATTTGCAAATAACGGCCACTACTCATTTGCATTATTTTAGCTTTTTTAGGCGCACTGTATTTGTAAAATGATCCGACATCTAAACTATTTTTTTTTTAGTATTCGAACTAAATCAATTGCACAGTCACGCGTTGGCCTATGTTTTAGAAACCGTTTTTTAAGATCGTCATTTAAGTTATTGTTACCGTCGTTTCTTTTCGTCTTTAGTTCATTGTCAATATTGTCTTCATAAATTATTTCCCCAAAAAAATTAGCTTCACTGTCATTATTTACATATTGTAAATTTTCTCTAATAATTTCCACTTCTTTGGGCACATTTTCGTTCTCCACTGTGGAAGTTAACCTTCCTTTATATTTTTCTTTTTGCTGCTGCTTAAGCCTTCTTCTATGTCGTTCACTATACATTATTGTTACTGCCGTACTTTTATTGTTTATTTAATATTTACACATTAGTACACATAGAAAAAAATAACAAACATATCTTATATTCCAAGCATATATTATTTTTTAAGTCACTCACCTAATAATCGATTGATCCGCTTTGACTTCTTAACTCAAATGCTTGCAAAAATTTCGTCAGCCAGCAAACACAGCTGCGTTTAAGCGAAAGAGTGGAACAAAATAAAACAAACTGTTCTTCCTGCACAATTGTTTTTCTAAGCATTGCACCGAAGACGCGTAAACAAACAGCGATGTAAAGCATCATCAAAGTTTTGTCTTTAATCTTGTGTATACTCTTTCCAAGAAATAACAAAAACAAAAGCGAACAAAAGTAATTTTGTACTTATGCTTTAATGAGCATATATTTATAAACTGGGTGGTTCGACGTTCGATTACTATAGGGTTAATCTAGTAAGTACCCATGTAGTGATCGACGAGGTAAGCACTTACCTAGTTCGACGTTCGATTACTATAGGGTTAATCTAGTAAGTACCCATGTAGTGATCGACGAGGTAAGCACTTACCCAAGGCTAATCGCAAAATCGAATCGACTAGGTGGTTCGACGTTCGATTACTATAGGGTTAATCTAGTAAGTACCCATGTAGTGATCGGCGAGGTAAGCACTTACCCATGGCCAATCGACACCTCCAGTTCTGCAGAGCTGTTATAATACAAAAAATATTTTATATTATTAAAAATTTTTATTTGTAACTAATTAATAAAATAAAATAAAAAATTTTATTTAAAAATAATAATAATACATTTTATTTAAAAATCAAAACAATAAATTTTATTCAAAAATAAAAATAATAAATTTTATTAAAAAAAAAAATAATAAATTTTATAAATATATATAATTAATAAATTTTAAAACTTATCGTTGTTGTCTGTTTATTAAAATACCCACGACCCTTGATTTATGTACGACCCACGATTAAAGAAGAAAATTCAATGTCAAAGTAAAAAGCATTCACCGGTTAGAGGAAGGTTTGGAAGCTGGGTCAGTTCCTCTAGTAAAGACCGAGTTAGGGCTAGAAAGAATGTCTCATTAAGGCTATAAATACGTCAAACTTTAAACCAAATGAGTTGAAAGACCAGATGGAGCAATAAGGTGGGGCAGATGAATTTGAAGGCGAGTTGGAAGAATTTGAGATAAAGACCTAGGCAAGGGTGATTTCATTATTAAATGCCTTTACTGTAGAAAGATTCCCTTCCAGCTACTGCAATGTCTGCAGCCCCAGCTCGAGCTCGACTTCCCAGTACGGCATTGCCAAAATTCAGTGGAAACTATTCGGAGTTTACAAATTTTATAAGCCTCTTCGAGACATTAGTAAACAAAGATGTGTTTGTATAATTACAGCGAAAGTAATTATAATAAAGCTATCGCTAGACTAAAAAGAGTTTACGATAACAAATGTCTCATCTTTGCGAACCAAATATGAACATTATTCAGCATTTTGAAAGTTTCCCAGAGTCTACGTCGTCGTTGAGAGGCCTCATTGACTGAGTGTCATCGATTTACGGGTCATTGTTTTCCTTAGGAGATAAAACTAAAATTGCAAACTCGATGATTATATATTTAATTTTGAGTAAAGTGGATCCAGTGACAAGACAAAAAAATTGGAAGAATCACTAGATTATGAAAAATTGCCGCTATGGTCCGATTTCAAAAAAATATTAAATCGTAGGTAGCAGCACCTGTACGCTGAAGAGACTGGTAAGCAAAAATAGGAAAAAACTGGGTTGAGCAAGCAACACAATAGAAGTTCGTTGGCTTGCTCCGCTTCCAACAAACAAGCTTGCAGTTATCGTTACAAGACCATTGTCTTGCCCAGTGTAGTCCATTCGCTCGCCTTGCTAGAATGCAACGCATTGAGTTTTTAAGGTTAGCCTCTCTGTGTATAGATTGTCTGCGAAAAGGTCATACGCTTGCAAAGTAAAATTTGACTACATGTCAAATTTGTGCAAGATCGCACCACAAACTTCTGTACCGATTTACTGTGTACCGAAAATAACTTATCGTTACCACTACCGAATGAAAATCCTGCTCCAGCTCTAAATCTTGATGGTCATTCTACGTCACATGCTTTGCATGCGTCCTCCCTAGAAAGGGTTTTGTAAGCGAAGTCGATCGAAAGGATTAAAAATGGCGAGCACATATTGACCCGAGCATGAATTGACTCTGGTCACAAATGAACTTCATTAGTGAAGATCTTGCTCATCGTGTATCAACTTGCTTGGAATTGGTCAAGCTAATTCACAGGTTAAGAAAAAGATACACACTGTGGTGAAGTCAAGAACTTATGGTAGTTCGTTTTCGTTCAACTTTTGGATTTTAAGAACAAGTTTGGGTTATCACCCTGACCAGTCTGTGAACATGGAAAATTAGGACCTACCAAACAACTTACCTTTAGCAGACCCATATTTTTATAAACCCCAGCGGATAGACATGTTAAATGGAGCTGAGTCATTTTTCGAACTGTTGTCCGTTGCGCAAACAAAACAAGGTCCTAACCATCCCATTCTCCAATAAACTCTCTTGGATGGATAGTATCGGGAAAATATAAGGCTAATTCCTCAACTCCTCAACAGCCTGTCTCTAGACCAAATTGTCAAGAAAGATTACTTGATTCGATAGATAACAGTTTGAAAAAATTCTGGTCGTTGGAAGAAATAAAACTTTAAACAAGCTTTTGTCACCTGAACAAGAGTTATGTGAGGAACATTATCAGAAAAATACAGTTGTACTGCATTTAGGTCGATTCGAAATCAGACTTCCATTTAAATCGGATCCAAGTTCGAAGTAGCCAATCGCCGTTTTTTGTCGCTCGAGAGAGATGTTACCGGGTGCTGGTTGCATTGAGGAGCTAAAGACATTTAAGTCTGAAGTAACTCAGGTCCTTTAAAACGCTGGGTTCGAATTGAGCAAGTTGTTTTCAAACCCTCCTGAAGGTACTGCACCCGAAATCATAGTTAAGCAACCAATAACACTGTTGAACTCAGAATTGACTAAAGT